AGAAAGAAAGAAAGAAAGAAAGAAAGAAAGAAAGAAAGAAAGAAAGAAAGAAAGAAAGAAAGAAAGAAAGAAAGAAAGAAAGAAAGAAAGAAAGATTACTTTTTAAAATTTATTTACAAAACTATGAATAAAAAGAATCCCTAAAAATAATGAACATTTCAGACTTTGAAGACCTCAAATTCTTTAACTGAATTTTATAAGAAAACCTTCATGCATTAAAAATGAACATCCATTTGTTTCTCTAAGAATTGTGCTATTTATATTCCAAATGTTAGGAATTATTCCGAATGTGTGTCCTTGGCAAAAATAATTTTTCAGCACCTAATAAGTATAATCTCAAAATCTTTCTGCTCTTGGTGCAGATTCCTGTTTCAAAGAGTTATTTCCTCCCTCCACCAATTCAGTAAATCTGTTTTTCACGCGGAACTTCCACCTGGATCTGAACGTCTGCACAACTCAGCCCCGGCGCAGCTCCTTCCTGGTTCATGTCAGTGGTTGAGAACTGAACAAGGAAAAGAAAGGATAGTAATAGGCCTTAAAAAAAAAAAAAAAAAAATCACTTTTTCTACCACTTTTATTTCCTCTCTGTAGAAGTAGACAAGGAGAAGCAGCAAAATGAGGACTAGTCTGGGGCTGGCCTCCAAAAGAGGGCAGTCTGCTAAGGAACAGCCCCTCTGCTCCTTGCCGCAAGAGACCCGAAGGGCGTCACTTGGGCGCCTGGGACCTCACTTGTGCGGCTCTTCGTGGTCCCCCTCTCCCGAGAGGCAGGGCAGGTTCCCGGACGAATGTCTCCTTCTCCATGGTGGTGAGATCCTCGCGTGTTTCAAAGGTAACAGTATGCTGGGTGAAATGGGATAAAAACAAGGTTCATTTATCAGAAGGCAAGTCCGCTGCAAACGCACACTGGAGAAGACACGGCGTACGCTCCTGCTACTCACGCAAGCTCCTCACAAGCGGCTTTGTGCAAAACCAAAGAGACAATGCCTGACACTTGCTGAGATGGAGCTTTTCCCTCAGAGAAAGCAGGAAATCCAAGTTGTGGAAGCGATACATAGTGCCCTGCGCCGTCACGTGATAAATAGTCTAGACTGTGCACCCGGGAACGACTCTGTCCTTGAGGGCTGATTTTGGTGGATGTTCTTCACGCTCAAGTGCGTGTTAGTGGAATTAGATCTGATGATGAGGGTTGGTGTGGACTCTTGTTTCCTTTCTAAACAGCTGCTTGACTGAAAACCTGGCTAATGTAAGGCACAAGCAAACATGAGTGCTTTAATGCAGAGCCGGACGAGCATGCGTGAAGAAGGGCTGGGATTGTTCTGACTTTTCAATGCACTCTGTGAAATGAGTATTTGTATAGGAAATTATCCTGGAAATGATCTTTGTTCACTAATGATCTCACTGCGTATTTACAGTTATATATAAATAGTTTTTCTTGGTTCTAACTAAAGAATTTTAGGTGGGTTGAGTCACATCAGGAGCTACAAAGACTTGGAAAAAGCAGCTGAGAAAATCCCAGAGAAAATCACAGCAGCAGTGAAGGACAGGACGCTTCTAGGAAGGATACAGGTTAGAATTAGCAATGCACTATTAACAAACCACCATGGGCCTTGTCCCTGGGTTATACACTGGTAAGGTTTCACACTAGCAATGTGAAAAGAAAATCTTGTGTTGCAGCTTATTTTTAGGCATGAGGAATTATGGGTTCTGGTAATTAGCAAGCTGCAGAAAATCACAGGTTTATTTGAAAAAAAATCTTACAAAGCAATTCAAAGTTATCTTCTAAGTACCCTTTCATAAAAGAAGAATAGTGTATCACTCTGAATGGCTCAATGGACAAGCAAACAAAACATTAAACAAAGCATTAAAATACATAAAGACTGCTACACAAAAACTAATGAAATCATAGCAGTCCAACTATGTTTTGCTCACCTTTCCTAGAAATAGCACAACGTCAACATGACTACCCACTCTGCAAAAGCTTGACCAGAAAACCTCACGTTTAATTGGAGATTAAATATTTATAAGGCCAGAAGGGATCCATCTCTTTCTGAATCTGATCACCTATAATATGATAATACACACACATGATAATATATTTTGTTGCAAGCTCATAAAAAATCTGCTGATTAAAGGACACTGTTTCAGAAAGGCGTGTTCTGTTGACTGGAAGACATCATGAAACAGATGGAAAATTTAGCCTTTCCTTTAGCAATTTGTTGTGCTTAACAGTTTTTAATGTTTCTCACTTCTAGTTTGAGTTGGTCTGGCTTCAGCTTCCAGCTGTTGGTTCTTGTAATGGCTTACTTCACTTAGCTAAGAAGCTCTTTCATATGTAATATTTTCTCC